GAACTGCAACCGAGGTACACACCCTTGACCGGAATTGAACCTATGACTCATTGGTCCACAGGCCAACACTCTTAACCGCTGAGCCAAACCGGCCAGGGCCCGGGCATCTGTTTTTAACAAGCAATTCAGGTGATTCTGGTGCAGGTGGTCCTTTCCTTTCATTTTGAGAAGCACTGCAGGTCTGACTCAGGAAGAGGAGGTAAATGCATGAGTGTGAGACGGCAAAGCTCAACCAATTTCACAGGATCCTTGTAATGCATTATTTCGAGCTTTTGAATAACACATATATTCTGCCTACTTCTAGAATTATTTGTGTTTTTGCCTCAGCCTTCCTCACATCCCCCCATCCCAGAGACTGTAAGCTCCCTGAAGCATAGGAATTATGTGGTATACTGACCTTTGTATATTCAGCAGGGCTTCTCATAATAACAAGTGTTATTCAGTAACACTTGTCAAATGAATAGAGGCAATAAGGGTAAAAACGCAATTTGAAGAGTGTGATGGAAACAGTCAGAGTTTAGTTTTGGCCCCTTTCACCCACCAGCTGTGAGACCGTTGAGACTCGTCACCTCTCAGTGCCAGGGTCCATCATTTGTAACATGGAAGATACGTTTCTTCCTCTTTCACAGGCTGCTGTGGGGTAAGGAGGAGGCAGTGTCTGTGAACGCGCTTAAAACTGTAGACCACTCGTTTCGGTTTTTTGGAATGTGACTGTCTTTTTGCTGTGACCCCATTTCTCCTGTGAATGAGCGCTAGGGTGTGCGACGGAGGCAAAGAACACGCACTTTACTTCTGGCCATTCTGGACAAGCAAATCCTAGTATTTGGAATTTAAAAGAACCACAGGACTTTTCCAACTTCAAGGAGAGTAAACAATAAATTAAGTACTAAAAATGTATATTATGAATGGAAGAAATACCTCACAGATAATGAAAGGAGATATCTAGGGGAACAGATTAACTATTCACATTGCAGTTTGACTCTGAGATGGAGACTTGTCAGAAGCCTGCAAGTGTTTAATGAAATGACATCTGAATCTTAGTAGCTCCCTTGAGACCACTTAAAAGGTAGCGGGTATCTGATAAGATGAGCTGAGAAGTTCAGGTATATGACATCACTTTGAAAACCTCAAGGTAGGAATTATGACCACCCCTCAAGCTACAAAGAACCAAATAACTGAAAGACCTTAGATCCCTGGTAGGAGGCACTGTGTCCCAGGTGGTAAATGCTGGTCCAGGACCACAGCCATTTCATAGGTCAATGAGGAAAATATGAACAATGTACAGTGAGTTTTCCATGAAGCTGTATTGGTTCAACTGAGCCTAGTGTGTTTTATTCTGAGATCAGGTCTTTCCTTGTTTTGGCTTATTAAAATGCCCTTGCTTTTATGAAATGTCATTATATTTTTAAACTGGAAATGAAAAGTGGACAATGATATTATGACTCTCCATTCATATTTATTTGCTCGGCCTTGAGTTTGAATTCTGGACCATTCAAGGCAAGTGGTTTGAGGCAAATTTCTAATCCACTCAGGCTTCAATTTCTCCACGTGTAAAGTCAAAAAGATGAACAATAACATGTGCAATAATACTTTCAAAGACCTTAGCACAATCTGTAGTACACTGCAGGTGATCAATAATTGGTGGTTAGATGAAGAATAAAGACATATGTTGAGTGTTGTCATCTACATAAGTAAATTAGATGAGAGTATCGATAGTATAATATTGTGTTTTTTACTATTGTGTTTGATGTTTTTCTATTTATTCTATGGTGGCCTCATTCGGGACCCACCCATGCCTTTGTTCCAAGAGTAAGACCAAGGCAATTTCCCTTCCATGCGTACAGCCAACCCCAGAGCCCTGTGTCAGTCATTAGGAACAGTCCAGGATCAGTGATAGAGTGGGTTTGTGCCTACTGCTTGAAGTTCTTCTTGGATCTAGAATTTAAACATACACCCTTGGTTCTAGGACTAGTACTTCCTTGTTATATAATGTGTATCTTCGTATTTCCAGTGCTGAAACCATAATCAATGTTTATTGATGATTTGAATGAATATGTGCTAAAATGAATCTCAGGGAATACAGCAGCATTAAGGTTTCCCAATTATCTGCTGGTTTGTTTCAGGGACCTATCTGAAATAGATAGCATTCTGACCGGTGACCTTTAAACGGGCTCACTTGCTAAGAAAGACAGCAAACAGGAAAAAAGTGGGAGTTCCTCATCACCAAAACACATTTATGTGAAGTTCATGATGGGTACTCCAGGTGTTCTGGCAGGCATCTTTCCAGCTAAGATTTAAGCCAAATTTCAACTCATTGTCTAATAACATCCAGACTTATTTTCCTAGGAATCCTAGGAATTCTGTAACTACATTTTATCAGGCTCCTTTGAATGCATTAAAACTTTTTTCCTGCATATGGCCTAGGTTTGATGGCCAAAGGATTAGGACACGGAATGGAAGTAACTTTCACTGAGTGCCTAACACAAGCCAGATATTTCGCTTATTTATTTAAGCTTTGTAACCATTTTGCAGTTGAGGGAACTAGGGCTCAGGGGGCTTATAGGGAGCAAGAGGCAGGGCCAGGATTCAGATCCAGGTTTGTGTGTCCAGGGCTCATTCTGACTCTGTAATCTTGTCATCTGACTTTTCTTTCCAGCAAATTTGGAAGACATATGAAATAGACTTTAGCAAGAGGTAGGAAGGATTATAAAGAACTGAGTGTGGGGGAAATTCATTCTGCTTGTCTATCAGTAGTGTGTGATTTGGGGCCTTAAGTTACCCAGCTGTAAGGCCACAGAGTTGGACTAGATGACCTCTAAGTGGGGTGACCACGTGGCCCTGATTTATACCTGTTATGCCAAGGCAACACTTATTAGCACCCCTTCCATTTTAAAGTGTTCCACTGTGGACCATCAATTCTAAGCCTCCCCTATATATAAGGTTCTTTCCAGGTCTCAATTTCTGTGATTTCAAATTGAATCGGACAATTTTCTTGATGACTGAAGCCACATGAATTTCCCAAGCCCATGAGGTATAAGGAACTGACAGCAGGGGAGATGACTTTCGTCCAGAGGTTGCTTTGTATTTCTGATAGGGATTTTTATTCTGCCCTTCCTGCTTTCCTCTAAAGCATACTAGTAAACCCCCGTCTAGTCATTTTGGTTCCAGTTGATTTGAGATCATTATATAAATAGCTGTTTCCAGTTCATACTAATAGTGGCTACCACTTATTGAGCACTTAGAGAAGTCAGGCTGAGTGCATTATCTCATTTAATGCCCTTATTAATGCTATAGGATAGCTCACTTTCTACATAAGGAAACTTAAGCTTAGAAGTTAAGTGACTTGCCAGTAGGAGATGGAGCCATGTCCTCCTACCCTCTAACCGTTATGCTATATTGAGATACGTGAACAGGTGCACACACATCATACACAGCTGATGATGTAGAATACGACCAGGCCTCCGAAGTTCCCATTGACCTTTCCTATATTTATCAAGGCAAATGCCAGTTTTTGTAATTTCATCCTCCATTGCTTCCACCATCCATCTTCACCTTACAGTAGAAGCATCTGCCTCAAATGAACAGACAGTAGATTTTGATGAAGAGACAGGTTCTCAGGAAAAACGAGATATTAGAAAGTGGATGCGATGAATATTCACTTACTTACACAGACCTTTCTTCTTGTTTGAGAATGCCTTTCTTTACCATAGTATAAAACAGGAAACGGATATTGCTTTTTCGTTTATATTTACATAGACAATACTTAAATAAAAACCACCAGTTGACACTCATACCATTCTGCTTTTATTTATTGTCTGGCTAACTTACAAAGACACAGATGTCTTGGATAGACTCTATCTCACCCTTTAAACTATTCTGGTGACACAGATAGCAAAATGTGCATGTTTACATACTGCAGTGGTATGAAAAAAATTTTTTTTCTTCCTTTACAGTCCCTGACTATAAACAGGGAAATATTAATTTCATGCCAAAATTTTTGGGGCACTTTAACAATCATCTCATTTCTGCTACTAAGATAACAAAACTGGTATTACAAGTTAAAATATAAAGGCCTAACAGTTTTTACAAATATGCAAATAATCTGCTACTTAGACATAAAAAGTCAATTTCTTTCAAATCACAAAGTAAGGCACCATTGGATTAAACATTTTTCTTGGCTTTTACTAAGAGAAATGCATAGTGAAATAAATACTGAACACTGAATTTTAATACTGTAATACATTTCAATATAAAATGATATGTGAATGTTAAAATACTGTATTGCATCTTGAATACATTTACCTGGATATTTTATGGGGGGGGGGAGACACACATGTAAGCTCTGATTTCAGGGCAGAAAATTATTTATTTTTGTGATTTACCATAGTTGAAAACTTTAGTATAGAACTTATTCAAAGTTTGGATACAGTTAGGTTGCTAACTTTCAAAGCAAGAGTGTAAGTATATTAATGAAATATTCATTTAAAAAACAAATTCTAAGACCTCTCTATCCTGGATGAATAGCAACTTTGAGTTGTGACCCTGTTTCAAACTTTAGGATGGTACCTGCAAAGTTGGGATATACAAGGAAATTAGCCATTCTTACTTCTCCTTACACATTTCAGACACCCTTTCTCTGGGTCAGACTTTTCTCTGCCGTATTTGCTAGCAAGGTCTCTTTTCTAAAGTGGGTCAGTAGACTTTCTCATAGGAGTTTTAATCAGCTGTCAATTAAAGAATGATAGCTGATCAGCCCTGGCCGGTTTGGCTCAGCGGTTAGAGCGTCGGCCTGCGGTCCGGAGAGACCCGGGTTCAGTTCCTGCTAAGGGCATGTACTTCAGTTGCAGTTTGTCCCCGGCCCTGGTTGGTCGTGCGGGTGGCAGCCACTCGATGTGTCCCTTCACGTCGATGTTTCTGTCTCTCTCTCCCTTCCTCTCTCTCTCCCTCCCACTCTATCTGTACAAAAAATGGAAAAATATCCTCAGGTAAGGATAAAAAAAAGAATGATAGCTGATCAAAGAATCCAAAATAAGAGCAATACATTTTTAAAAAATACTTTGCCAAGTTTGTTATACCTTTATATTTCTTTATTTTTTGGGTAAAGGACCCCAAGTGCCTGAAAGACAAATGAATGGTAGAGGAGAGGGGGTGGGGAACCCAAGTTCCCTAATGTACTAAGCCCAGGACTTTGGCAAGAAAAGTTATAAAAATACAGTATATTCAAATGGGCAACACCATAATTTATTAGTCATCCCATTTATTAGAACTCTAAGTTCTTTTGCTTTTATATAAATGAAACAATTATTTTTTCTATAAATAGGAATGCTTCTTTCAAATTTTTCTTTGGATTGATTTCTTGTTAGAATGTCCAGTCGTACATGAACAATACACTGAAACCATGATACAAAGTTTAGGTAGATATACATATACATTTGTGACCATGTGCTTTTAAAAAATAAGTAATGGTAATTTCAAACATAATCAACTGTATAAAATATCAAAATGAAAATTTTTTCCCAACTCTATAACTAGGTTTAAAAGTCCCAGTAAAGTCTGTAAACAAAATCATACAAAAAAGGCAAGGCTGGCTCTTCCCGATGGTCCTTTTGGGAGCTTTATTTGCATAGATAAGGCAAAATATGTTCCTGGATAGTTTCAAAACAAATCCCCTCCAATTTCCAGTAGCAATCTCTTTCTCTCAACCCCATATGCATCAGATTTAGATTTTTAGAGTTTGCCCATCAACCCAAATCTGGTGCCTTCTTCTGAGTTTCTGAATTGCTACCTTTCCCTGACTTTCCCCCACCATGACTGAGCCTCCAAGCCTCCCCACCCTGAGGAGCAGGCTGGGAGGCGGCCTCAAATGCGCAAGGCAAAAGTCCAACTGACGCGTGAGTTCCTGCCAGCTGGCTCTGAGCCCAGAAGCCCCAACAGGCTTTCGGTTTCTTTGCGATGGCTTTATTCCACGTGACTGTAAACCCTGTTAGAGCAATTTCTGACCTTGGTACTGTGAGGCAACACTTGCATACAGATATTAAGGGAAGAGGGGAAAATCAGGAAGCAAAATAAGGTCCAGCCGTCTGCTACACAAGGTGTTGGTCCTAATTTTATGTTTAGTTACCTCTTGAATTGCTAACGCTCATCTTGCCTTCCTTGTGTTTTTGAACAAGAAGTTTTTGCACCAGCCTCTGTCTTCTAGATCTGCACTGTCCAATATGACAGCCCCCAGCCACATGTGGCCATGGAGTCCTTGAAATGTGGCCAGTCCAAATAGGGATGTGCTTGAAGTGTTAAACACAAAACCTGATTTTGAAGACTTTGTGTACAAAATAAAAAGGATGTAAAATAATCTCATTGGTAATTGTTATTTTAATTGTAGGTCAAAATGATATTTTGTATAAAAATATATTAAAATTAATTTCACCTCTTTTCTTTTTTTTGTTTTTAATGTGGCTACTAGAAATATTTAAATTGTGTATGTGGCTCACACTCTATTTCTATTGGACAGCTCTGTCCTAGAGCCTACCTCAGACTGCCAAAGATTATAATCTATAACCACAAACATTTCATGTGAGCCCTCACTCAGCAATTTGCTTAGGTGGTCTGTGGTTCAAAGAAACAGACAGGAGGCCAAGCATGCAAAAAAGGCATTGAAGCAAGCAGCTCTCAGGGACTTTAATATTATCTGTAGCAAATATGCAGTGAATGTTTGAGTTTGGTTGGTTGAAAGCTGGGACACAATTCATTTCTGCCTACTTGCCATAAAAGCCAGTTGACCCCAAGCAGTCAACACTGGTGGGCTGTAGCTGAAGCAAGCAATAGTTTTGAGAATATACACAGAATAAAAATCTAGGTGCGTTTCTTTATCCGATTCCCACCCCCCACACACACATTCTCATGTCACCCTCCCTTCTCCCCTACTCTCAATATGAAGGGGACAAGGGAAGACAAGGGGAGGAGTGTGTGCAACTCTTGATAGCAACAACAGAAGTAGCTCTTGGGCTTGGGTGGAGAACAGCAGGCAAGGATCACCTTGGGGTGGGAGGAAGGGGTGGGACACCCCTTTCTCTTCGGTTGGATCCACCTTAATGAAAAAATAGACAAAATATAAATTTTGGTTAGAAAGCTTATGTTCTCACTGTAGAAATTCAAAGATGTTTGAAAAGGTATCCCCAGCCCTACACCCTATGACCAAGCTGGACATAACTGGCACACTTGGACGAGAAGTAGGAGGGGAAGGGGAGCAGCAAGGAGCTGAACAAACATTATTAGAGGGTGACCAGCCACTGGCTACAGAGTACTTGCATCAAGTTAAGAAAGTTTAAAAAAAATGCTTTTCTTCTTATCACAAACACAGTATGTGTTTATTATAGGTTTAGAAAAAATAGATGAGAAAAAACAAAACAAAAAATTCACCCATGCTTGCACCACCCAGAGATAACAAAAACATTATTTGTAAATATTATCTGTATATTTTCTATATATAAACAGTTCCCTTTTCTCTTCCAAAAACTGGGTTAGATAGCCATTTTGAACAGATTTCAAAGTCATTACTCTTTACACATAAAATTATTAATGACACACTGCATTCTATTATATATGTATACCATAGTTTATTCATTTAATACCCTTTTGTTGGGCATTTAGGCATGTTCTAATTTATAACCAATGCAGTTTTGATACTAGCCATCCTAATGGGTATGAAGTGATATTTTGTTGTAGTTTTATTTGTATTTCCCTAATGATTAGTGATGTTGAACATCTTTCCATGTGCTTATTGACCATCTCTATAACTTTTTCAGAGAAATGTCTCTTCAAGTATTCAACCCATTTAAAAAACTGGGTTGTTTTATTTTTGTTGTTGTTGTTGAATTGTAGGAATTCTTTATATATTCTGGATATTAATTCTTTATCATATATATGATTTTCAAATATTTTATCCCATTTCAGGGGTTGCCTTTTCATTCTGTTGATAAGGGCCAGGTGTTCAGATGCTTAAGCATGTCCACCAGGGGCATGTGTCAATTGAGTATGACTGCTATGGCCGCTGCTCCGAGACTCAGGTGGCCTGGCACCAACAGACTCCTCAGCAGGCATCTCGACCATGACCTAGTAGCCCATGTAGGGGTCTCTGAGATAGAACCGAATCTCTGAGTAAGGAGAGGAGTCAGAAGAAAACACTGGCATTCCATTACCTTGCCTGTTCCTCTCACCATCCCAACCAAGTCTTTTCTTGGGCAGGCATCTGAAGAAAGACTCATCTGGATATAAACCAGCCATCTGTCACAGAGGCCTCGACTATCAACTGCCATACCACAAGTGGTTAGCAAAACAAGGGCTGGCCTTGTGCAAAGCTGGAATTAGGTGGTACTGCTCAGGGCTGTCTGGATGCCCTACCAGGTTGTGGGCCTGGAGGCTAAGGTAGCAGGAACAGAGTAAAACCATTTGATAGTCCTTTATGTACTTTTTAGAGAGATGATCCACTGACAGGAGGATAGGGGAGGGAATGTGTTCAGCTATTAAATTAAAAATCTAGAGGGGCTGGGGAAGATGGTTCTGTTACACACACTCATACACATACACACAGGGGTGAGCAAAAGTAAGTGCACTGCACCATTGTGATATTCTTTTGAGTTAATAAGGCTATTGTAATGATCATAACATGCATGTTTTTTTCCATACGAACAACTGTAAGCCTACTTTTGCCCACCCCGTGTGTGTGTGTGATTTAAATTAGATTAAGAATGCTTATAAGAAATCAGAAAAACATATTTAGAGTCTATGTGAACAAGTCCTTAAAGTGAATTCATTTGTTAGTGCCCAAGAGGGAAGAAAAACAGGCTGTACTCTTGTTAAAAGCCTCTCTTATGATAGAAACACACACACACTACAAACATACAAACACACAGAGCTCAAAGATATTTGTCCCATGTGAAGACTTATTTTTCGCCAATAATTTCAACCACCAATGCCTGTATGATAATTTTTATTACAATTACCTCTTTTTTATTAGGCATCATTGAGGAATGCAGTATTCCACATAAATGATTTTTCCCAGGAATTAAACTTCTCCTTTTATGCAGTCATATTCTGTTTACTTCTGTCATTTGTTCATGAGAATTTTCCTGAAATAGTTTCTAATTCTTTGAATTCTTTAACAAAGGCACAAAGCACAATTTGCTGTGTCTTTGTGTCTTTAATAACCCAATAGAAACATCATATCTGGCATTGTCCTGTGCTCTAATTCCCAGCACAGCTCTGGGTCCCTTCTCCTCCTTTGCCACCTGTCACTTCTCTCTGAAGTCAGTGGTTCTGCTTCCAACCAACCTTAACTTCAGGTGATATTAATCTGCTCTAAGGCTGGGGACCAACGAAACATTAAGAACTGTGGGCTAAGGAAGAATCAGTGGGCCCTGAGTATGTGTAAGGAGCTCTGCCAGGATGTGAGGACAAGACAAGGGACATTGTGATAGTTGTTGACATGCTCAAATGCTTTTCCTCCACACATTTCTGCTTTGGGAGTTTGGTTCTGAAGCTAAGGCTGTTACAAGTCTGAGTCTCATCAGTGATATACAGGCTGTCCCCCAAAAATGTATACACACTTGAATAATTATAAAGCCAATGTTTATTAAAATACATTTCATTTCAAAATGTAACAGTTATCAGCTGTGAAAGTGTGTATACATTTTTGGGGACATCCTGTATATATATTTCATGCTAATTCTTTCTCAGTTCTTTACATTTATTGTTATAAAATATTAGTTTTTCTATTTCCTCTTCTTGTTCACATTTTCCCCCCAATAGTGGAAAAATGATTTACTTCTTGGGGTAGCATTATTAGCAAAAAAACAGAAACAACCTAAGTGTCCAATAATGGTAAACTAAATTATTTTATCCTGACTTGATGGAAACCTGTGTAATAAAAACCATGTGAAAAAATGGGGAAGTATTTACTAAGCAATATTATATAAACCCCACCAATAAAAAACTACTCTCTAATTATAACCATATAGATTAATCAGAATTAGATGGATTAAAAATTAGATGAAAACCTGGTAAAATGAAAGTATCTATATGGAGAGATGGTTACACTTAAAATTTTCATGTAATGCTCTGTAAAGCTATAATTATATTTAAAAGATCAAGGCAGTTACAGTAAGTTTTCATTATAATTAACTAAGACATTTTGCCCATCTCAAAACTGACAGGAATAGAAAGAAGATCAAAATGGGGACGGTTGACTAAACAAGCAAAAGAATACAATTTGACCTACCAGCAACCCAAAAGTATTTTGGGCTTATAATGACACATTAAAATAATAATTTCTCCTGTGCATTCTGGATTATCTCCGTTTTCCTCACCATCACTTAGAGGGCTTCACACCCAGAGGTGACTTCTCCAAGGTCTCCCACTCCAGGCAAGAGGCCTGGATGCCCTGTACACCCTCGGTTGTGTATAACCCAGGCTGCTCCAGCAGGAAGCCTCCCAAAGCCCTTGCAGAAATACTCACTCCGGCTTTCATTTCTTGCCAGTTTACTGGGATAAGTTTTTGTTGTTGACACATATGGCTCTGGAGGTGGCAAATCAGAAATTGGATGGAAGTAGAACCTGCTTTCCCACTCATCTGAGGGAGAGAAACAAACATATCATCAATAACAGACAATCTGCTTCAAAGAAGTATGAAAGGCACAGAATGAAATAGAACTGAAGAGATCGCTTCTAGTTTTATGTCTAAAAGTTTAGAGAAAAGCTGGAAGTGCTAGAAATGTCACTGATATCGCACATCAGAAATATACGGGTCTGCCAAACAAACCAAAGCCAGATTTTACCTAGTGACGAGGACCCAGCCAGTCCCTCTCAGGAGCTGGGGGTCTAAGGCTTGCGACACCTTTCTTAATTATTTCTCCCACCAGTGGAAGGAATACCTGGGGCCCTCTGATCACAGAGGCAGAGGTAAGCTGCTTACTATCTGCAGGCCAGCGGGCCTCTTAACCTACAGCAAACTGTTTAGAAAGGTACGTAACAAGAAGGTAAGCTACAAAAATGATTCTTTTCAGAATTCTGGTATCTCTGGAAAGTTAACCAAGATGAGACTCAAACAAGGAACAGAGAAACATGATCTGCCTTTTTGGAAAGCGGAGGAGGGGGATTACTATTTTTAATTTGGAATCATTGTGGGCCGTAAAATGGTTACATCAGAGATTTTTTTTTTTTAATCTTCACCCGAGGACATTTTCCCATTTTTGTTCAGATAGAGCAGGAGGGGGAGAGAGAGAGAGAGAGAGAGAGAGAGAAAAACACGGATATGAAAGGGACACATCTAGTGGCTGCCCCCCGCATGACCCCAATCAGGGCCGGGGACGAATCACAACCAAGGCATGTGCCCCGAGTGGGAACTGAACCCAGGACTCTCCAGTGCTCAGGCCGACGCCCCACCGCTGAGCCAAACCGGCCAGGGCAGATCGAAGATTTTCAACTGGTATGCTGCAAGAATTTTTAAAACATGCAATACCTGACTATTTATTCAGGAACAATGACCTCTTTTACCTTTGATAATAGAATAAAAAAATAACAGCCAACACATCAATAGCCATCCAGTGTGAATGAATCAAAATTATACCTATTTTTTGTCAGATCAGCAAAAAATATATTTTTTGATGTGCTGCAGAATTTTAGTCATTAGTTTATGTATGTCACGAGATGAAAAGGTTCACAATCGCTGGGTTAGATAGAGCAGTGCAGCATGGTAACAGTGAGGGGCATGCAAACAAGAAACGTTAATGCAAACACACAAACAAACACAAACACATTTCCCGTTCAACGGCTGCTCTATAGCTTGTATGTTTCCAAAGAGCTGGGACCACATCGCACCTTCACATGAAGAGTCTTGGAAGCCGTTTCTAATTGATGTTGATGGTGGAGGTGGGGGAGGTGCCCCAGCACCAGGCCTGTCTGGAGGAAGAGGAGGCCGGGGCCCACTCCTAGGACTGTCTACTCCTCTGGATGGCAACTGTGGGGTGGCAGGCAGGGCCCGAGATGTGCTGCCATTTCTGTTTATTGGAGGAGGCGGTGGGAGAGGGCCTGGAGCAAAAGAAAAGACATTTAGCGTGATACCTTACATCCTACATTACTATTATCATGGCATCACTGACATGCAATTATTGAGTGCCTGATGGATGCATGCCCTTTTACTGGAAAACATGGAGAAATGGTGGAGACTTCCTAGGAGATTTAGCCAAGAAAGGAGTAGGCACATATACAGTAAACTCAGAAATGCACATGTGTATACACAGATGTGAAACGAGTGCATACTGGGAGCTAAGTGGCTGTTTTGGGTTCGAGTTAGTCTTGAGATTGGAGATGATACAGTTATGTTGAGAACAGGTGATAATCTGTTTATACTGACAACCGTATACATACTTAAAACACATTTTAATATTCTTTTAAATAGCTATTGAGCTAATTACTGAGACATACTTATTAACTAATTGCTATTTTTAAAAATATTTTAAAGAAGAGTAAGATAGTTATTTTAGATCTTTAGAGGGATTAAGTTCTCTAAATGCACAGTATTATTGCTAATTCCACACGCACACAATCTATTTCCAGACAGAAGTGGGGTCAGGAAACCCAGTGTTAGTCACCCTGAGAACAGCAGACGTTCCTTCTTGGTTCTTCCTCTTTTGGGAGATGATCAGAGGGAGTGACAAACAGCTCATCAGTGTGCATGGCTGTCAGTGCTGGTGCGGGATCCTGACCCTGAGCAGGCTGCCTACCACCCTATGGAACGTGCTTTCCTATCTACAAACAGCATCAAATAGTCTCCTTTCCCACAGCACTGCTGCTGGGAACACTCAGCCAAAAAGCATTAAAAAGTACTACATAAGTACGTGAAACCAGTTCTTAAAAAATGCAGTGGTATGATATATAATCAGAACATTTTAAGTTCCTAGAAAATAATTCAAAGTAAATTCTTTGTGATAATACAAAGGAACCTTTTCCCATCCTCCAAAAGCAGAGGCTTTTTGGGTCATGAGTAAAATAAAAATAAATAAATAAATAGAAGGAACTTAAGCATTTCCGCATGTAAGCCAAAACGGCCTTAGTAATTACCCCTGATCTTCAGCGGTGTGCTACGCTTGCCAGATGCTGACATTTTATGTAACACAGTGTCTTGTGGTGCTAGAAATATAAATATCTCTTGTTAACTGCTGATTCAGAATCCAACTAGAGAACCTTTATAGGAATGATTGTCCATCGCAGATATCCCTGCCTGGAAGTCGGCTCAGACACTTGAAGGCGGGAGGCAGGTCCCGCCCTGTCTGGTCTCTCCAGGTGTCTTCAGTGCCTCACCTGTTAGAGTTTATTTATTGCCCTTCCACTTGTCATTGCTGGAGTCCCAGTCAGTAAGAGTAAATCTATTGCACTGAAGAGTGTCTCACATGCTGTGGGCTTAACTTCACCCGTACTCAATGCCAAAATTGTCCCTCAATGCCAACTAGACTTCCAATATTATTGGGCCTGTGTACTATGTAACTTGATCGACTTGATCTCTCTCTTTAAGTGAATGTTTCTGTTCATACTTCTCCAATCCTCCAAACCTGGGCAAGCATCAAAGAAAACATTTCTATTTCCCATTGGCAGCATAATCATAAAAATGCTCATTTATGTTAGAAAATAAGATAACCACTATACACACTTATCTCACTTGATTTTTACAACAGCCGTGAAAGGTACAGAGCCAGCAGATGAGGCCTCACAGGTGTTGGAAAGTTAAAAAGGCCAAGTCAGGAGGCTAATGAGAACCAAGATTTGACTACAAATCTGTCAAATTCTCCTAACAATGAAGCTAAGCCACCTCTCAAAATCCAGGTCGCCCTCGATGGGACTAAATTGGTAGGATTTTCTAGAAGCCAATTTGGCAGTGCCTATGAAATCCATAGTTTACTGTGCATACCTATTGACCTAGAAATTAATTCAAAGGATATACAGAGAAGCACACAATATTTGGCTACAAGAATGGATTCATGCCCGGCCGGTGTGGCTCAGTGGTTGAGCGTGGACCCATGCACCAAGTGGTCGCTGGTTCGATTCCAGGTCAGGGCACATGCCCAGGTTGGGGGCCCAATCCCAGTGGGGGGCATGCAGGAGGCGGCCAATCGATGTTCTCTCTCATCGATGTTTCTATCTCCCCCCTCTCACTTCCTCTCTCTCTAAAATCAATAAAGGGGGGAAAAAACAGAATATTCCTGCATTATCTGCAACAACAAAAATCTGGAGATGGCCTCTATGATCAGTGAGGGATTAAATAATCAAGGTGGGTTTTTTTGTTTTTAAATCCTCACCTGAGGATATTTTTCTATTTATCTTCTGATAGAGTGGGAGGGAGGAGGAGGAGAGAGAGAAACAAACATCGATGTGAGAGAGACACATTGACTGGTTGCCTCCTGCACGACCCCGACCAGGGCTGGGCCTAACTGCATCCAAGGTACATGCTCTTGACTGGAATCGGACCCAGGACTCTTTGGTCCAAGGGCCAACGCTCTAACTGCTGATTCAAACTGGCCAGGGCAATCAAGGCGTTTTGTAGGATTTACTATTATGCAGTCATTTAAAAGTCAGGTTGTATCATATCAAAAAATGTTAATAAGATATTGTTAAATAAAAAGCAAACTAATACCAAACAATATGTCATGTGATACTAATTTTGTAAAGATGTGTATATACATTTTTAAAAGACTGAAAGACTATATAAAAAATGTTATCAATGATTATTTCTAGATGGTGGTGGTCGTAGGGTTATAGATGATTTTTATTTTCTTCATACTTTTCTGTATTTTCTATAATAAACAGGTATGACTTATGTAATTGAAAGGAACAATAAGTGTTATAATTATATGTCACTGCCTACTCTATTTTGGGGAAGATTTAATCTGTTGATTCATCCATTTGGTAGAACCATGCAAATAGCTCCTCAGTCACTTTGAGAGGGGTAGGGGGGATCCATAGCTTTTGGATAAAAAGAAAACATTGCGTTTCATTCATCTGACTACCTGTACTCGTTAATACACTGAAGAATACTTAATGAGATGCCACAGTGTCTAGGGACTGGCCTGAATGGATTAGTAACTTCTTATATTTGTAGCCAACTCTCCATGGTAGGGCAGTTTGAAGGGGTGGGTTATTACAATCACTGGGTTATTACAATCCCCATATCCTGATGTCTAGTCTGCAACCCAGACCAACAAAACCAGAAACCCTGGGGAAGGGTTTTAAGAGTTCCCCCAGGTGATTCCAGTATGTAGTCAAGTTTGGGGATCACTGGTTTAAAGAATGGTGTTTTAGGTTCCTGAGGTCACAGGGTCAAAGGTCAGTAAACTTCACAGACAAAAAAAATGCCCCATTTCCAAACATCTCGTGTGCATAAGATTAAAATTTAAAAGTAGATAGTTCCTCTGATTCCATCAATAACCTATGTAAAACAAAACAGTGCCTATTATAATTAGCAGAGAGAGTACAAACCCCGGGGACTCCTCACTTTTCATTTCATATTCTGAACATTATCCCTCAGATTCAGGTTTCTCAACCCTGGGCGGGGGCACAGATGTGCTTCCGCAGGTCCTTCAATCCACGAAGTAGAATGCGTATCTTATTTATGCTTATGAGCACTTTTGTGAAGAGAAGGCCTGTACCTTTATCTGATTCTCCAAGGGATCTATGTTAGCAAACAGCAGAATGGGCTCTCACATTTGTCTTTAATGAGCAGGGAAGTGGCCCGAAGGCCTGACAGATAGAGAGAGAAGTGCAGGGGAAGTTCATTAGCTCTTAAATAACTGCCCTTCTTGTTGGAATAACAGGGCTCTCCTCAGGAGATGGGCATTTGGTTCCCCAATAGGACATCTGAAGTCACTTCAGGGAGGCAGCGTTGCAGAATGGTGGGATGGAAGACGCGCATTCTAGCCTCTTCTTTGTTAACTAGTTTGTGATCATTTAGCTTTATCGGTCACTCGGTCTCCCCATCTCTAAAACAGGCAGAAATATCAGCCCCACTTTCGTCAGGTTTACATGAGGTCAAGGCGAAAGCACAGTGTTAAGTGTCACCGAACAGAGAAAGCAGTCTGCGTTCCCATAAGCGATCTGTTGGGCTCTGCCGATGTATTGGATCATTAGTGACATCTGGGCAGGCTGGGTTTTAGGGAGACAGCTCACCCCACGTCTTGGCATACCTGATCTGCCCGGTGGGTCCCGCACTGGAGGAGGGGGTCTCTCGCTGGGCGGGGGAGGAAGAGGGCCCGAGCGTCCAGGTGAAGGTAAGGGCGGTGCAGAGGAAGTGAGGGACACGTTCCGCTGTGGGAGCCTTGGGATTTCGTCACTGCCGCTGGAGCCTGGAGGCAGGTGCGGAGGGCCCGGCCTGCTGGGCGGCGGCGGCGGCGGCGGGGCCTGCGACAAGGAGGAAGGCCGTGGAGTGGAAGGCACCGGGGGCTTGCTGTTCTGGGGGGGCGGAGGGGGGCCAGCTTCCCTGTGGATGGAGGGCCTGTTGCCCATTGGAGGCGGCGGCGGAGGGGGCTTGTCATCCAAGGCCCTGCTAGGAGTAGGCGGCAGGGGAGGCCGGTTAGAGAAGGGCGAGGGGGTCTGACGGATAGAGCCTCCTCCAAAAGCAGCACCTCGGTTTCCGGGGAAAGGGGGAGGAGTCGGCCCAAGGCCAGGCTGCCTGGGGGTCGCAGGCACTGGCGGGGTCCCCCGGTTGTGCAGACTTGATTGACCGGGTCTTGGCGTGTTGGGTACTGGAGGGGGCACGCTATCAGGTTTGGAGCCCACGTCGGGCCTCGGGGGAGGCATTCGGTTCCTCTGCGGCTCTGGGGGTCCGCTTCTGTGGCCTGGAGAAGGCACAGGGAACCTCCCTGGGCCACTGGGGGGTGAGAAGGGTTTGGCAGATGTGGCTCTTCCTCCTGGTGGCAAAATCGGGGGCCGGCTTCCTCCGGAATCTGAAGAACAGGGGGAAGAACTCAGTTAGAAAATTAGGAACCGTAAAAGAAGCCAGAGAACCACAGAGTATTCCCAGCTACTGGCAGTCCTTGCGGAGATGCTCTGACACATAGGTAACCTCTGTCCATTTAAATCAGGTTTTGTGAGGTCTTTCCTGGAGGGAGAAGAACAGATCACAGCTCTCTTCACCGTCGAGTCTGAGATCTACAACCTGTCATCTTTCCAAAGGATTTTGGAGAGATCGCTTGGCATTATGTATGTATGGGCAGGAACCAAGATGAAGTTGGTCAGAGTTCTGGAGAGACCCTGTTCATCAGGAGAGGACCAGAACAGGACAGTTGTGGCACATGGGACTTCTGCTAATGATTTTCTTTTCTCTCCATCATCATCCCTGTCCCCTTCCCCTTGTACCTCTTAGACTTAAAAACATAATTTAGTCATTTAAAGTGAAGAAATTGATTATCCCAGTATAAATATTTATATGGGAGGGGTTATGTAGTCTCTTTGAAGAGAAATTCCCAAGAAAAGATAGAAAAATATAGTGGGACAGTTATGATTGAAATAAGAAGGAACTAAGAAAAAAAACTGTCAAAGTTTAATTGAAAGAGTCGATACCAATGGATGGTCTTAATCTGTAAAGAAGTAAACAACTACAACTTTTTTCCTGCTGGGTCAACTTCCACTTCAGTATTGGCAGGACAGGAAAACCTATTATATAATTAACATCAAACTGCTTTGGTTCACCAAAGGGAAGAACTAAAGCGGGGACCAAGGTTATAGAAAAATTCAAACCACCACCCCGGAATCTCTTGGCACCTGAGGTAATTCTCAAAAAATGGTTAGCCTGAAAACGTCTACCAGTTCAACCATTATCTAATTAATGTACTACCTATTTACTAAGCATCTGCCATATGTCAGCCATTGTTTTAGATGCTAGAGACAGAGGAGTAAACAAAATAGAAAAGATCCTCTCTTTTATGGTTTACATTCTTTTGGGGGGAGGTAAACAACAAACCAGCAAACATATAAATATTCTCAGAAAATTACAATGGGCTGATGAGATGAAGAGTGCCGAGGGAGGCCGGGATAGATGGGGCGGCTCTTCTAAGGATGTGACATTTGAGCTGAGTCCAGCCATGGGAAGATACAGAGTAGCACTTTAGGCAGTGGACCAGCAGGTGCCAAGGCCCTGAGGTGGAAATGAGCTTCAAATGAAAAAAACTGAAAATCGAGGCCTGTGTGCCTGGGGCACAGTGAGCATGGACAAAAAAAGAGGCCTAGGTGATGGAGCCTGAGTGGCCATCAGGGACCTCATAGGCCAACATGAGTTCAGATTTTATTCACGGCACAATGACAGACATTTGGATGGATTTATACAGTGGAGTAATGTGAACTCTAGAATTTTTTTTACTTTAGAACTACAAAGAAGATGTAGTGTCCTTGACTGTGTGGTATATTTTTATATACTGTAATAAGTTATATCTTGCAAGTTCAGATTAAAGCTGCAAGATTACCTGGATAGGATCCATTACGTGGATAGTATACTATGAACACATATACTTCTGCTACACCATTTTATGTACCAACTTAAATTCCATTTTCCTTTTATTATTTTACTTCCAGTTGTCTTTTGCCTTAACTTCTTCACTTTTTGTTAAAGTACTAAATGCATGCATTTGTCCTCTGCCTCAAATCATTTTGGTGGGTTTTAAATAAATTTAAATTCTATTTTCTCATATTATTGAGTCTCTAGAGTTTGACCATCCAATGCTAAAGTAGTCAGCTAACCCTGAGGATTCAGTGACTTTATCTTCATATCAATGTGAGAATTCCATAGTTTTCCCAGTGGACATTTTAAAAGATCACAGAATTAGAAATGAAATTCTTCTAACAATAAACGTGAAAAATGAGAGTTCTACGGTACAATTTCCTGAGCTTCTGCAATCGTCAGGGGAGCGCCTCCTGCACTCGGTAAGGTTTTTATTTGGGCATGGCCAGGTTCAACTTTCCCTCTGCCGTCAGTTCACAGACAGTCCTGGAGGACTCATTTCCTCGGCTCCCTGCAGAGAAGACTGAGAATCACTGGCCCTGAAATGCCAAATATCTGTCATGCAAAACACCTTTTTAGATTTAGTGAGATATGTAATTATAGTCCATATGACATGCTCCACAGTGTGTGTGAAAGTGGCTCACAAGTATTTACGATACTAGACAGCTGGCCAGGCTACCTCACCAAGAAAGCTATATTTGCCAGGTCACCAGGCAGAGTTTCCAGGGGTGGCAAGTTCCATTTGTTCCTTTCTTTTCTTCCCATTCTAGCTCACCCTTTAGAAAAGTACAAAAAAAGTACAAGTTACTCCAAGGACAAATATGTAACAGCTCAATGGAGCTGTCTGATATCGATTTAATAAAAAAAAGATGCTAAATAGAGTCTCTCTTATAAAAGTGCTAACATTTCAAGCAATGTAAAATGTTTTAAAGGGCACAGCGCCCTAGAGGAGATGCCAAGCCTCCAAACCACCCAACTCTGGTCTTCAGTTACTAAGAGAGAAGGAAACTCTCCTTACCATTATCCCTGTTGCCTGTGGATCTCAGCTTCGGCATTCCAGCCTGGAACAGTCCTCCCAAGCCGGGTGGTCCACCCCCCCCAAAGCTTCCACCACCGCCACCACCTCCGCTGCCACCTCCTCCACCAAAGCCGCCACCTCCACCAAAGCCACCACCGCCACCAGCTCCGGCTCCTTTAGGTTCTGCAGAGGAAGAAAACACAATCTTTACACAGGTTTGAAAACACTACCATCGTCCTTCACCAGTCCTAGCCCAAGTAAACAATAACAATAAAACCTGGGCCTATGGTTGACAACTGGGATTTGATTAAAATGCAGGATTGTAAGGATTCAACCCGCCCCAATCAGAAAAGGAGGGGATTCTTTCCGCGCTGGGGCAGTCACAGGCCCAGTGGTGGAAGAAGTGATGATAGGTGGTGACCTGCCCCTCCCACTTTGGCTAGCTGCCATATGACTTAATATCTATTTGGCAAATAAAAGGATCTTCAAACGAAGAAAGTCTCAAGGGAGGGCGATACAATAAAAGGGGAGAAGAAAAAAAAAGTAAAAATAAACAGAATAAAATAAAATATCTCTTAATTTTACTCCTTGGAAATATCCACTGTTTTGGTATATTTTTTCCCTGCCAGTATCTTTTCATTTTTATTTATTTTTTTCTTAAAATTAAGACCAAAATTCATTGGACAGTTTTTAGCTTGCTTTTTTTCACTTGACACTTTATTGTCAGCATTTTCCACGTCATTAAATGTTCTTTAAAAACATGAGTTTAAAGGACTGCGTTGTTTTAGAACATGAGTACGTATATTGTAATTTATTTAACCATCTACTTTTTTGATGGCCTTTTAGGTTGATTTCAATTTTTTAAATATCATTAAGCCCAATGTTAGGCTTTCACATTTTAAAAATTCTTTGCAATTTGAGACAGTATAAAGATTTTGTTTTATTTTGTATTTATTTCCAAAAAATTCTGAAACCTGAAATGGGCAAACCAAGAAAGGAAGAAAAAGATTACTAAGTCTAGCCTTCTGTTATTTCCCATTGTCTTTGAGCTATTTTACAGCTCTGTAAACTGTAGAAAAGAATAATAATACAAATGCTATTTGCCCATAGAAATGCAAATTGGTTGTGTTCAGTGGAATGCAACTGATATTGGTCATTTTGCACCTATTTGTAAATTCATTTCAGTGCTTACTGGCCTGTATATATGTGATACTTTGAACTCTCCTTTGAACTGATAACATCAGCTCTCATTAATTAATAAGCAAAATAAAAGAGTCTCTTAATAATTTATGTATGTATGTTTCATGAGATTAAGAATTGTTTCAAGTTCTACCCCTGGAAAACCTTATTGAGTCTTTGATGAGTATTATAGGAGATCTACAAATTAATCTTGGAGACCTGACACTTTATAATGTTTAGACTTTATGGAAACATGGTTTATTTTCTCTGTCTTCTGATTTACTCAGTAAAGTTTTGTAATCTTCTAGATATGTGTCACATGGGCTTCTTGTTAGGATTACATGGAATACATTTTTGTTTGTTAAAATTGTAAAAGCGATGTTTTTTCTACTAAATTTTGTGATTGGTTATTATTGGCTTTGGAAAATTTCATCTGATATCTAATAAACCACTTTGCTGTCTTTTTAAAATTAAAATTTACAAAAAATATTATCTTGGATTTTCTTGTAGACATATGGTTTGCAAATAGTAAAGGTTTTGCCCCCTTTTTATTTTTATTTTATTTTTTGCATTTATCTTCAGATAGAGTGGGAGGGAGAGAGGGAGGAAGAGAGAGAGAGAGAAACATTGACGTGAGAGAGACAACATCGACTGGTCGCCACCCACATGATCCCAACCCGGGCCAGGGACAAACTGCAACTGAGGTACGTGCCCTTAGTGGGAACTGAACCGGGACTCTCTGGTCCGCAGGCCGACGCTCTAACCGCTGAGCCAAACCAGCCAGGGCACCCCCTCTTTTTAAATAGGTTTACATTTTATATCTGTTTTATGTAAGTATTAATTTTGATGACTGAACTTCCACAACAATGTAAATTATTAATGTTGCTAAAGGAAAACATTTTTATTTTAATGAGAATGCCTGTAATGTTTCAAAGTTATATGGTTTTTCTTATTTGATATGATAAATTTATAGGCTTTCTAACATTAAAAATGAGATAAACCCAGGTTTTGGTGAATTATTCTTTTTATATATGGGATTAGATATTTTGTTTGTTTTATTTGTTTTTAGTTAGTACCCTCTCATCCATGATCATAAGTGGTCCATCTATAGCAGGGTTTCTTACCCTTGGGACAACTGACATTTTGGTCAGGTAATTCTTTCTTTCTATTTTTTATTAATTTAAAATGTATTGAGGTAATTGTGGATTCACATGCAGTTGTAAGAAATAATAGGTCCATTGTACCTTTGACCCATTTTCTCCCAATGGTAATTCTTTCTTCTGGGTGGCTGTCTTGTTCTCTGTAGAATATTTACAGCATCCCCGACCACTAGATGTCAGTAGGAACCCTTCCCTCACCAAGCTGTGACTACTAAAATGCCTGCAGACTTTGCCACAGGGCCCCTGGGACACTGACTTACAAGCTTTCTTTTTGTTTATGTGCTGCCTCTGTCAAATTGTGATATTAGGGCTATGAGTCTCCTCACACCTGTCAGAGAGCTTTCCATCTCTTCCAGTGTTGGGGAACAAATAATTATATAACATTTGAATTAGCTGTTTCTTAAAATCTGAAAGGATTTACTGATAAAATCATCTGGCTCTGAAGTTTTTAGAGGGAAAGTGATTTGATAAAGTTTTCATCTTTTTTCTTGCTCATTGAGGCTTCATGAATGAATTGTAGTAAATTTAGGCTTTTCTTAGAAAATTAATTTCTTTAAGATTTCAAAATGATTTAGCATGTAGCTTCATCATAGCATCTTTAATTTTTTAAAATTTTTTTATCCTCACCCGAGGACATTCTTCCATTTTTTGTTCAGACAGAGTGGGAGGGAGAGAGAGGAAGAGAGAGAGAAAAACATCGACGTGAAAGGGACACATTGAGTGGCTGCCACCCATATTACCCAACCAGGGCCGGCGACCAACTGCAACTGAGGTACGTGCCCTTAGCGGGAACTGAACCCCGGTCTCTCTGGACCGCAGGCCGACGCTCTAATTGCTGAGCCAAACCGGCCAGGGCAGCATCCTTAATTTTTAAAAATCTGCTTTGAATCTCTTAATTTATCTACTTCCTGTTTTATTCTAGTTTTATTCACTTGTGTTTTCTTCTTTCTGGATTAAATTTATCATGTCTTTGTTAGCTCTGAATCTTTTCTTGGTGTAGAGCTTTTCGGACAATTACGGGAACTCTGCTGATAGAAGAAATTTGAAAATTTTACTGATTTTAATTATTGTCAATAATATTAATAATGCCCTTGTCATTCAAACATTATTCAGTAATGAATGATACATTTTGGAATATTGCATTTACATATGCCACCTTTAAATGGCATTAAACATTTGAAGAGATCAATGCACTATCAGACATCATCCATTAGTGTATCTTTCAGTAGAGAAGTTAAAGCAGTTGATGATAGCTAACTGGCACAGGGCACTTTGTTAGTAAATTGCAGGACAAAGCTGACTTTAAGAGTTTTATCATGCTCAACCATGGTCAACATTTTAATCTAGAGCCTAGGGAGGTTTCACTTGCAAACAAATACAAACCACAGATGGACTTTGTCACTTACAAAGAGCTTGTGATTGCCCAGCCAGTGTGGCTCAGTGGTTGAGCATCAACACATGTACCAAGAGGTCGCCAGTTCGATTCCCAGTCAGGGCATATGTCCAGGTTGTGGGCCAAATCCCCAGTTGGGGGCATGCAGGAGGCGGCCAATGGATGTTCTCTCTCATTGATGTTTCCATCTCTCTCTTTCCCTCTCTAAAATCAATAAAGAAAAGAAAAATTCAAAGAGCTTGTGACAACAGTCTTGGTGTCTAATTAACTTCATGGAACAAGGGCGTGCATTGGGTTGCATTTTGTGTCCACCAAGCAAAGTGAGCAGCTGGAAGGGAGAACTAACATTTATTTCCATTTAATGGGAGAAGTGGACTTTGAAGAATATAATGAGTTTTCACTAGTGGATTCAGGACTAGGCCCTAGACTGTCCAGCCTCCTTCAACATTTGGGGAACTCACATCCACATTTCCAGAGTCTAGTCTCCTGCTCCTGGTGGGGAGAACCTCGGGCTCTGTCCTAGAAGTTGGTTGTCTGTGGAGTTCTTTGGGTCCCATACCAGGCATCATGACTTGATGGTTGTTGGACCAACACTCCCGATTGTGCTAGGATTCCCCTTGGGAGAATCTTGTGACATGGATCAGGAGGACTAAGGGGTTGATTATACATTAACCACATCAGTTTTGATCTACAGATAAAACTGTATCAAGATCAAAGACCTTAGTTCCTTTTTGAGGTGTGGTGCAATCTATTTGTACTGCCTTGCCTGGTAACAGAACGTTCAAAGGCCTTCCTCTTTTCCATTTACTTCCCACACCAATGTTCTCATCTTACTCTGGTCCTTCTCCTTCTCTTATTAGGCACTTTCCCTAGAAATCCTCCTAAGCCCTTCTTATCCCCAGCTTGACTAAAATCCTGCATTATTATTCACTTGTCTATTTGCTATTGAGTCCAAATGGGATCTATGGTCTCGAATGAGTTCTGGAGACATCTGGCGGGCAGTGAAAACATCTAGGAAAGTGAAGAGACAGTCTTGAGGCCTGATTATTAACTATCAGTAGATTCTAGTCATGTATAATTTTTCATTCTGTTGTAAACGTTAATAAGTCCCTGCCTTGTTTCAGAAAGTTTCTCAGGCTTACAATGGGTAGGTCAGCAAAACTGTGATCTTGTTTCCTCTTTCTCCAAGCTCCTAATAATCATATCTTACACTTAAATTCCACATTGTAGACAACAAAACACTCTGCAAGTGTTGTCTCATTTGATGCTCACAATGAACTTGTGAGGACAGGAGAATAAGTATTATCTCTATTTTACAAATGAAGACAATAGGCTTGGAGATAGTAAGTGATGAATGTGCCAGGACTCGAACCCACGCCCTTTGATTCCAAGGCTAGGGCTCTTTCCCTGTGTCATGCTGCCTTTTGATCTATGGTGCAAGGAGCAAAGGGTTAATTTCCAGAAAGTGTTTGAATAATTCAGAGAATCACTGCTGTGTGTGTCTTAGACAAAGAATTATTATACTGGCTTCCTGCAGCATTAGAGGGAACCCAAACCGAAGCTGTGGCCTACAATGAGTGATACAGTCCCTCATTCTGCTAGCTTTGCAGCTGTTGTTAACCAAAAAAAAAAAAAGTTTTTTTTGGTGGGAAGGGTAGGGTTGACTATTAGGTCATAACCATTTAGCTCCATGGAAAACAACTTTCTTCACTTACTGTCCAGTATCGGCGCACTTCTGTCATTGGTGACGGTCTTCTTCAGCTTCTTCCCTTTGTTGATGTCAGAGAGAAGGGCATTTCTCCCGGCCTGCTCGGACTTATTCAAGGCAGGCTTTTCTGTGTTGGCCTGAAAGGAAACCATGCAAACTTGCAATCATCTCTCGAATTAAAATCACGTACTACCACACTCAGCGGGGACAGCTAGAGTACTGGGAGCTTGTTTTTATGGTTGTTGGCGATAGGTTGTTAATTTTCCACACATTTTGGACTCCATGTCTTTCTTTTTAGGACCTGGACATTTGGGAGCAGATGCAGAAATAAACGACATTTATTTTTAGTGCAGGAAGAGTCCGTTCCCGATAAAAGCCTCTGAAAATTCAGACCATTGTCTGGCCGCAGCAAAGCCAGTGTTGGGACAACGAGAAACAAGGAGGGAACCGGAGGTCTGGGAAGATTCTACAGGAGCCACGAGGCTTCATTCTCAGAATGTGTCCTGAAGAGCAGCTTCTCTGCCTTCTTTTTTAGAACTAACCTGGTGCAAGGAGAAAACTGTTTCTAGCAAAATGGGCTGCCTGAATTATTTTTTAAAATCCACCAACATTTGAGAAAAATAATTCTCTGTTTACATTGCCTCCCAATTTTTTTCTTTTCTTTTTAATTTAAGGGAGATTTGAGGTATAATTTGAGGTAAAATCACCCTTTAAGTATATAGTTCTATGAGTTTTGACAAGCATATACAATCATGTAGCCACCTCCACAAGCAAAATATATAGTATTTCCACTGCCCCCGAACTCCCTCATGTCCCTTTGCCTAAGGTGTTTCCTTGAAAGCTTAGCTCAGAGACTGCAGAGCTGACAAAAGTGCTGGTTTAACATATTTGAGTATTTTCCATACCTTCAGAATGCCTGGGACAGATCCTTACATGAAACGGAGCTCTTGTTTATGCAGGATTATTGTGGAGAGTGGAGACACTAGGGGTCCAGCACACGAACTTGGACGTTGGCGTGTGCCTGTGTCTGTCACGCCTGGAAACTGGTTTGGTCTGGCCTGGTCCCAGGGAGAATCCATCTGGCAGACCTGAGAGTCCTTCTAGGCTGGCCCCAGCACTTCCAGAAGGATCTAATTGTGCAGGGGCCAGGGAGGGCCCTAGGAGGTAAACCTGGTAAGTTTAGCTTGATGCCTCACCCAGCTATTTATGGTAGGTAGAGGCAGAGGGAGAGCTAAGAAAAACCCTCGCGCAGGCTATGTAGAATCTCTGTGTGTTAAGTTGCAAGGGTCTTGAAAAAGTTAAATTATAAAGTATTACTTGTTCATGTAATAACAGTTAACTTTTATATAGCTTTTACTGTGGGTCAGGCACTGTTCTAGCATTTTGTGTATAAATTCATTTCGTCCTCATCAACCCTGGGAGTCATTATTTTCATGTTAGAGACAAGGAAACTAAGGCACAGGGAAGTTAGATCATTTGCCCCAGCCACCCAGCTAGTAAGAGGAGGAGCTGGGATTCAAACCCTTGCAGTCCGACTCCAGAGCCTTCCCTATAACCTGTTGGAAGGGTAAGTGTGGATCTAAAATGCCCCTTCCCTGAACTGGGGAGATGTTGTTAAAGGGTACAGACTTGCACCTGGAGGATAAGAAGTTCTGGAGGTCTAACGCACAGCACAGTAATTACAGTCAACAATGCTGCATTATAAGAGACCAGATCTTTAATGTTCTCACCACAAAGATAATTATGTGATGTGATAGCTAAAGCTACGGTGCTAATTATAATATATAAATGTATCAAATCATTAATTAAACTTACACAACATTATATGTCATTTTATCTCAATTGAAAAAATTAATAAATAAAATGTTTCTTCCCCATCGGTCCCTAACACTCCCCAATAGCAAGCCTGTTAAGAGATTCTAAGTAGCCAGTTCCAGAAAAGGTCTTTGCATAAATACTTCGTGTTTGCTAATGGGATCATCCTCTATTGCTCTGAAACTTGTTTCTATAACTTAACAACATACCTTAAACATCTTGGAAAGAGCTTTTAAAATTACCTATTATCTTCATTTTAAGGATGAAAAAAAAACCCCGAGGCCCAGAGAGGTTAAGTGACGTGTCCATACTGGGTCTCTTAATGGTTTGGAGTCAGCAATCCTCAGTAGCCTCCCTTTCTGCCTCGAAATTTATTTTGACACCTGGCCCCTTTGGGTGCTAACTTCTCCCACGTGGCTGTCCAGGTCCCTTAACAACACTGTTCTACTAAACTGTGTCCTGGGAGGGCCACTCAGCCGTCTTCCCCTTTTCTCATCTCTGTACCCTATTTCTCCCGGATCTTGCTTTTAGTCAAGTAATAATGGGTAGAAACAAGTTGATGGGATAAACCAGAGTTCCCCAAACTTCAATCATTCTGGTACAACTTTCATGATTTTGGTCATCTTCTCATGCTACGTGTTATTTATTTTATATTTTTCATGAAGTCTATTCACTAGATAATTTACTATACTACTCTGGGTGTGCTAGTTATAATTTTTAGAACACATGTTCAAATAAACACATGACCATTAAAATAAAACAAAACTTAAGGTATATGCTACCCAGCAGTGGTATATAACTGACATTTTGGGGGAGATATATACTAATCCTGCTATGTTAGCCAGATCAGAGCTTTTCAAACTTACAAGTGAAAAGACCAATTCTTTTTTTTTTTTTTTCCATTTTTTGCACAGATAGAGTGGGAGGGAGAGAGAGGAAGAGAGAGAGAGAGAGAAACATTGACGTGAAAGGGACACATCGAGTGGCTGCCACCCGCACGACCAACCAGGGCCGGGGACAAAGAAAAGACCAATTCTTAAGAAAATTTTTCCAATTTATCGTGGGCTGATATTTTTGTAAAATGACAATGAATTATTAGTAAAAAAAGAGCCCTGACCGGTTTGGCTCAGCGGTTACAGCATCGGCCAATGGACCAAGGAGTCGCAGGTTCCGGTCAAGGGCATGTACCTTGGTTGCAGTTCCTCGTTGGTCGTGCCAAAGGCAACCAATCGATGTGTCCCTCTCTCACATCGATGTTTCGCTTTGTCTCTCTATCTCTCTCTCTCTCCCTCCCTCCCTCCCTCCCACTCTATCTGAAAATAAATGGGAAAAAATATCCTCGGGTGAGGATTGAAAAAAAAAAAATTAAAAAAAAAAAAAGATGTGCAAAATGCAATCTTAAAAACAACAGGCAAAACACAGTCAAGTTGCTGTGTTTCTAAATGTTTACTCTCAAGTTCTGTACTTATCTCCTTGGGGACTCTGGAGGACCACACCTTGAATGAGCTAATTAATAGTCTGTTTTTTCTGAGCAGGTTCCAGCCTTAGATGGGTTATAGAAATGTGTCCCGTGGAAGCCTGGGCAAGAGACTTTTCCTCTTGTTTCCCCCAAAGAAAAAAGAAAGGCCCATCACTGGGAGGCTTTTTAGCAACCAGGCTTCACGTGCTGGGGGAGGCGCTTGTGTGGGGTGTGGCTGGGAGCTTCCGCAGCACCTTGGGGGAGCTGCCGGCCTCCTGGAAGAGGGTGTACAGACCCGGGAGGAGAGGTCTACCAAGGACCAGGATGAGCCCAGAGAAAAAAAGTCTTTTGGAAAGTAGACATCTACATGCAAGGACAGGTTTAAAGGGGGATGTGAGTGTGTGAGGAGACTCTGGGTGATGGTGAAAGTGGAGGATATTTACTAAAAACAGAGTGGGAAGAGAGAAGGCAAAAGACAGAGAAAAAGAAAGCAGGAAGTCTGCGGGACACGTGAATGGGTGCATTTTCAGACAGAGACCTGAGTTTCTGGACCGTCCTGCCCAGAAATTAAAGGCTAGAAGTTAAGCGCATTTGAATGAAAACAGTGCGGAAATGCCCTTGTGAACCTGTTTTGGGCCAGCACATGGGAATGAACAGGACACTTCCCTTGCTGGACACAGCCGAGGAAACCTAACTGCCCCACACTCCACACGTGTACTGTTCACTGCACGAGACCTTCGCCAGCAAACCCTGCGTGTTGCGTTCTCTGCAGCTCCAGCTCCTGGAAAGCTCACCATATCATATTCAAACCAGAATGCAAAGACATTGAAAACGAACACATGGCTGCCAGGTTCGACTTCATTTGGCTGCTTCATGCATGGATAACGGAGGGTGAGGGGCCACTCACCACAGCAAACGTGGGCGGCGGCGGGGGCGCTGGAGGGGGAGGGACGGGCATCTTGGACAGTTAAGCTTTCAACAGTCTTGCTGATAAATCTGCTAAAACAAAACAAAGAGAAATAGAACATGGTCATGTATTAGGCTTCTTAGTAACTCTGTCCTCCTCTTCCCCCTTTCCCACCAAAGTGACAGCTATTCACACAGGCCAACTTTTGTAAGAGGTGGAATTATCTTTGCAACATTGCTGAGATGTGACTGTTCTGGAAGAACCCAAGCAGGGAGGTTTCTTAGTGGAAGAGCCTGAAGAGACTGAAGCAAAATCCAGCACCCCATGCTGCTCAATTCCACCATCCACCTCAGCAGGTTGGGGGAGCGCCTGGCACAGGGCCCGTGGGCCTTCAGCCTTGGGTCTGGAAGGTTATCCCGGTACTGCTGGAAACTGTCATGCAGAGGCTCCTGTTCAAGTGGCTTCCCTTCCTCACTCATTTCCACGACAAAGCCCCTTCTTGCTCCCTCCCCCTCAGTTCCACGCCCCACCGTTTGCTTTTCTGTGCAGATTCCTGACAGTCGCCTGGGTGTGGGCACACACAGTAGGAATGCAAGGATGAATCTGCTTCTGCTCTTGCCCTCAGTTCTTAGTCCTCTGGGAAAAGGAGCCGGCGGAGATAAGGTAAGGTAGGCAGGGAAGATGATGGGTGAGGGGGCTCAATTCCTATCGTTGAGCTCCTTGGTATTTCCGTGTAGGATCTAAGTGGAAAACCTGGGGGGGGGGGGCATGGGGGGCGGGCAAAGACTTAAACCTACGACCCTGGGCTGTTTACTAGAAATGGGCTTCATTAGGAAAGCTCTGTGCACGGTGTGAGTGCCTTGGGAACAAAGGCAGGCCAGACTGCAGCTGGGTGGGAGGGTTGAGGGAAACCCTGGTGGGTAGCAGCAATGCAGGCACACGTCTGGGGTGAAGAGACAGTGAGGAAGCCCTAGGAGTTACACCAGCCACAAACCCCACCCCCATCCTCCCAGTCCCATCCCTGCGTCTCATCCCACCAGGTCCCAGCCCCAGAAGCACCTCACAGGCTTTCTCACCCTAAGTAATCCCAACTTCTCCCGTCCAGTCCTTGCCACTGTCCTAAGTGGGTCCCAACCGGCAGCACGGGCACCACCCAGAGCCCTCTCCCCACAATGGAGTCTGCTTCAGCATTTGAACACGATCCCTTGGTAATTCATCTTATTTGAGAAGCCTGTTTGCAGAGTTTAAGCTTTAAACCACTGGGCAGCCTGGCACCCTGACCACCTGAGTTAACACTTTCTAAGGAACTTATGTCCCCAACTTCAAACAACAGAATTATCTTTTATTCTCCATAGTCTCTCTCTTTTTTTTAAATCCTCACCCAAGGATATTTTTCTATTTATCATCAGATACAGTGGGAGGGAGGGAGAGAGAAAGAGAAGAAGAGAGAGAAACACTGATGTGAGAGAGACACATCGACTGGCTGCCTCCCACACGACCCTGACCGGGGCCGGGGACAAACCATAACCAAGGTACATGCCCTTGACTGGAATCGAACCCACAACTCATTGGTCCACAGGCCGAAGCTCTAACAGCTGAGCCAAACCAGCCAGGGCTATTTTCCATAGTCTCTTAATTGCAGAAAACAGTGTCTTAGAATTTAAATCGAGTTCAACCACTAAAAATTAATGTGGAAAACTTACACCTTGAAACAAACACATTCTATTAAAGCAGCAATTTTCAACCAGTGTGATGCAAGAATTTTTTAAACAAGCAATTTTTAAAATATGACAATTTAGTCAGGGGCACTAACTTCTTTTCCCTTAGATTGTCAAATAAAAAAATTACACCAGCCAACACAACAATAGCTGTCCAGTGTGAATGAATCAAAATTACACCTATTTTTTTTTGTCAGACCAGCAAAGAATATATGTTTTGGTGTGCCACATAATTTTAGTAATTACTTTAGGTGTGCCATGAGAAAAAAGGTTGAAAGTGGCCATGTTAAAGCATTGCTAGCTAACCGGTTTGCTTTCTGTGCCCAGAAATGGAATGGGAAAACTAAAAGGATGTGGCCGGACTTGCCAAAGCTGCTGGGAGACAGGAGTGAGGACAGTGTGGAGAGTTCTGTCCGAGTGGGCCATCTAGAAAGTGCATTTTAAAAATCCCATAGCGGCAATAGCAGCTCTCATTTATCAACATTCGATTGGATCCACACTGTTCCTCAGTCCGGATCCATCGCCTGACGTTCCTCACCGCCTCTCATGTTTACAGACATTGCCCACTGCCCAATTTTACTAGCTTTATGGAGGACCCTGAGATGCAGGGAAATTAAGGAACTCACTAAAAGACCCACACAATTCATTCAAATCAAGTCCTTTCAACCCCTGCTCTTTTTAGGTAAGCATTTTAGGCGGGTAAAGGGCTAGCTAACTAGTGCTACTGCTCACATGTAAATTAGGTCAGATCTGTTTTTCAATTAGAGACTGTCTCAGACAAGGATTCTTTTAATTTTCTTCCCCTTTATTGATTTTAGAGAGAGAGGAAGTGAAAGGGAGAGAGAGAGAAACATCCATGAGCGAGAACATCGATTGGCCACCTCCTGCATGCCCCCCCACTGGGGATCGGGCCCACAACCTGGGCATGTTTGCTGGCTGGGAATCGAACCGGAGACCTCTTGATGCATGGGTTGACGGTCAACCACTGACCCACACCTGCCAGACCAGACAAGGATTCTTTTAAACTGTGTTCCTCAAATTGGTTTTCTGCATGAGAACTATTAGGTCCCCACGGGGCTAAGTAAGCGGGCAGTGTAGCAGGGCTGGTGCCTGTGTTGGTTCTGTCAAGGCGGTTCTCCAGCTGCAGAAGGCACCTTTGGAGGCTGCAGAGTCACACATGTCACAGGACCAGGAGGAAGGACTGGGATCTGAAACTGGATTCAGGTCCAGCTGACTGTGAACAGTGCTGCAACCAAAGCAATGGTATTCTCAGAGCTGGAGAAAGTGTGCAACAAGAAGGTGGTGTGGCCCTGGCCGGTTTGGCTCAGCGGTTAGAGCATCAGTCTGCGGTCCAGAGAGGCCCGGGTTTGGTTCCCGCTAAGGGCATGTACCTCGGTTACAGTTTGTCCCCGGCCCTGGTTGGGTCATGCATGCGGGAGGCAGCCACTCGATGTGACCCTTGCACGTCGATGTTTCCCTCTCTCTCTCTCTTCCTCTCTTTCCCTCCCACTCTGTCTGAACAAAAAATGAAAAAATGTCCTCAGGTGAGGATAAAAAACAAACAAAAAAAGAAGGTGGTTTGGCTGGGGACCCTCCACAGGGCCCCAGAGATGGGCTCCATGTGCCTGGTGGATGAAATGCCCCTCAACACTGGAATTTATTATGTTGGACCCCATGTTCACCAACTAACCTGTCATCCTGTTATCCTAATACTGAGAAGGACAGATTCTGGTCAACCACTAGGAACCTCTGATGGGCTTGGTTCTCATGAGTCAGCCTCTGGTTGCAAAGATCAAATTGAACTTCGGTCCTGTATCTTAGGGGCCAGACTGTGGTATAGGGATGCTTTCAGGGGGCTTAACACCCTGCAAGTCCTCTTTAATTATTTTACAATTTCTGTCATTGCTATTATGGTTCTGATTGTGCATTCACTGGCTTATAAATAAAATCCTGGACCACAGAAGCTTGGGCTCCCCTCCTGGCCGCCTCAGACACACGACAGGGAGAGGCAGGATCTGTGGGGGAGGCAGGCCTGACTACCTGAACAACCCGGGTGGCTAGGGAATCCATACATAACTTTGGACTCCCCCCAAAGTGAACTGCTGATAGCCTACTGTTGATCAGAAGCTTTACTAGTAACAGTCAATTAACACGTATATGTTATATGTATTATATACTATATTCTTATAATAAAGTGAGCTAGAAAAAATGTTATTAAGAAAGGCATAAGGAAGAGAAAATACATTTACAGTACTTATGGAGAAAAATATTCCTCATATAAGTGGTCCCAGGCAGTCCAAACCCAGGTTGTTCAAGGGTCAGCGGTTTTTCTCCCTCCGCTGCTGCTGCTTCCCGCCCCCCGTTTCTCCCTCTCCTCCAGATAAACCACTCCCCGTCCCTCCTCAATGCTGAAGGTGATTACAGAGGCTTCCGTGGTCTCTTTGCTCCTTCCTAGATGAACAGCTGCTTGTCCGAATTTGTCCAGGTTTGTAAGAAACCCCAATCCTGCCACCTTTCCACATGGGTCAAAGAAGACCAATCTCACGTCTCCCATGCCCGGCCCACACCAGGCCCATTTCTTGGCTGTCTTCCCACCAGACTGTGACCTCCACCAGGTCTCCCTAATACCTGGCACAAGTAGGGTTCCCATTAAATATGTGTTGAGTGGAAGAGCCAGGTGTCACATAAATGAGCCATGTACTGGCCACTGGAATGGCTCCCAGCACCAGCCCTTATGCATTGTGAGGTTTGGGCAAAGAATCGGGCCTGTGTCCGCGGGGCTCGCTGGCGTGAAGCACGGCCTTGCTTTCCCGGCAGTTCCTGACTTTGCCAGTGGAGCAGAACCCAAGGCCTTGGGAGAGCCCTGGCTTCCCGCCTCTCATGGAGTTAACAGCCCCTCTTAGAACCAGAACTGGGCCTTACTGAGGGGCTCAAAAGCAGCCTAGACCCTAAGGAACCAGGCATTCCTAACCTGGATCCTTCTACCTGCAGGGTCTATGGATCAAATTCAGGGGTTCGTGAAACCTGAAGGAAGAAAAGGACATTTATATCCCCTAACAAAAAATTGGCATTTCTTTCAATTATGAATGTAAACCTGAAATCACAGTACCTGAAACTATTTCACCAACAGATTGTCAGACATATTACAATAGTTGCAGACCTCTCTCAAAATGATGGCACTGTTTAGATCTGTTAGAGCTTGTACATATTTCAGTATAACTGGTTTCCTTAGCAATCCTCTGTATTTTGTTTTCTGCATCTAACAGTCCAAGAAGGAGTCCTTTGGGCTTCACCAGACACTGGTGTGGTCTATGGAATGAAGAGTTAGAATCCCTGTGAGAACATGAGACCTGGATCAGGAGAATATGACT